AAAATTATTTTTATTTATTAATAATTTATTGAAAAGTATTAAAATTTAATTCATGTATAATTATATTAAATAAAACTAAATTAGACAATAAATAAAAAAATTATAAAAAAAATTTCATTAAAAAAAATTCTCAAAATACTCTCTCAACATGTAACATTTAATATTTATCATATAGGAGTCGATAATAAATATATAGTAATTTTTTTTTCTCATTCTCACTTTCTTAATAAATGTAGTAATGATTTATTGATAAAAGAGTAATTAATGTTATCTTGAAATTTAAAAATAATAATTAAATAAAAAATATTAAAAAAATATAACAAGTAAAAAGGAATGATGAAAGTAATATATTAAGAAGTTATTTAATCAATATTAAATAAATGTATCACAAATTTGTCAACAAGTATTGAATGCATATAAAAAATATGAGTAAAAAATGTCTGAAAAGTCCAATAAATGGCCTTTTATTAAAATTTATGTAGGAAACATTAAATGCATTGAATAGTACATATATTTTATTAATATTTTGTAGGATACATGAAATAATGTATATTTTTATTAATATTATTATGATGTAAAGACATAAAATAATTAAAAATATATATAATTTGAAGATGGCACTCAACGGTGGTATGGGTAATGCATGATATGATATGCGCATGATTAGTTTGGGCACTCTGGTTGCCTCTTTGTCCCACTCTGACGGGTCACAAACTCCCAAATCGAAACACGATAGCACAGGGAGAATAGCAAAACGGCGTGTGGAAGTAGCGCTTTTTTCTCCACCCAATCCAATCTAAACCCAACGCACTTTTAAAATCTTCATCTCCACTGCACTGCACACTGCACACTGCACTGCACTTCACCCATAACATTAACAATAATAAATATAAATAAATAAATAAATAATTACTAATAACATATCAATTCAGTCACACTCATTCTCATCCCTCTCTCTCTCTTTACAATTTCCGCTTCCTAGAAGAATCTAGGGTTTCAAACTCACTCATTCTTCGCCTTCTCAACGGAAACTTCAACGTACGTTCGTTTTCTTCATGCTTCAACTACTCTCATGCTTTCCGTGTCTTCTCGCCTTCTCTTTCTCCTCTATTTTTTTTTTCTTCTTCTTGTTGTATGAAATTATGAATTGGTTATCTGTTTGAGGTAGTTGGACTTGCTTGTTGGCCTCGCTGATAATACTTGCTTACCGAGTTGAAGAGGAAGAACGTTTCACTTGTAATTAAGTTTTGAACAGTAAGCTTGTTATGACTTTCAGGAGCGCGTGGCACTATCGTAATTTAACTCTCTGAATTTGATCATAATTTGACTGTGAGAATTTGCATTGCATTTGTATAAATTGGCGTGAGGTATTCTATATTTCTATTATGAAATTATTTCTTTTGTCAGTATTCACTGTGTTGTTTCATCTCTGTTTTTGTTTCTTGTACTATGCTTGCTTACTTTCCTAGTGTAATAAAGTTAATTTCTCCTTGGATGATTATGCTGATGCAACAATTTGTGGGTGCACTTTAGGAGGCAACATGACATTTCTGGTTTCCATTACAAAAGAAGGGGCAAACTAGTCTTCCAGTAGTATGGCAACTGAGAGTCCAATTAGGATCTCAGAAGCTGGGGGTAAATGGCCGTCTCTTAAGGAAGCTGCGACGTTTGGTGCACCATCTCGTCACATGGCAACAGAGGATATGGGTATATTTTTGAATGGTCATAGGTTCCATGGCAGTGGAAAGGATGTGGTCCCCAATCGCAGTGGCAGTGCACCTCCAAGCATGGAAGGCTCATTTCTTGCCATAGAAAACTTATTATCCCATAACACAACCAGGAATGCAAGCTTGGGATCTCTGAACAGAGCTATGCAAAAATGTGAGTCGGAAGACCAATTACTAGCTAATCTTGCTTGTTTGACTGCTCTATTGTCAACTAAACACTAAATATCCTCTCCCGCTATATCATGGGAAAAGGACCTGTATGGTGTGCCATATTGGTAGTTTTAGGCTTTTAATAGTAATTGGTGATTGTCTTCTGCAGATGATAGCGGTAAAGGTTCTTTTCATTTGCCACGAGGAACACTTGCAACACACAGGGAGGAGTCCGAAGATGATTCAACTCCACAGCTGTATGATAATGAGTTAGATAAGACTAGTGGAAAATGGCATAGACAGGATGTGGCTTCAACATCATCTCAGCACAAAAATTTAGTACCGGTGATTATTCTGATATCAACTTCTGAATTTGTAAAATCTCTTAAGTTTTCTGCATATAAATTACAAGACGACATATTTTCTTACATATGAACAATTTATTTGTTTTAAATTTACTTTTTTCTGCATTTATTTCCTTTTGTTTCTGCCTCTTTACTGCTGCAGCGGGTACTGTGTACTGATCCCATAATTTTGATAACTTTTTTCTTCGACTGTTTTTTTTGTTTTTTTTTTGTTTTTGAGTCCGATATTTGACTGTAGTCAACACTTAACCTTTATTTTTGCCTCTTCCAGATTTTCTGATTATGAATGCATGATATATATTTTTTTCTGTATTGAAATTCAAAATTTCAGGAAGATCTTCCCAATACCATGTCAACTGTATATAATAAGTCTCTTGGAGTGGTGGATGAACTATTTGACATAGATACTGGTTCCAGTTCCTCTACAGTGGATACTGTAAAACCTACCATAGGCGAAGATGATATAAGGCTGTCATCAACTGTTGATTCTCCTGCCCCTGTCACAAGCTCATCATCTCTCAATTCCACTGGAAGCATGGGCTTTAATGACTTAGATGTTACAATTGTAGAATCTCAAGTAAGGGCTCTCAGTGTATCTAATCTACCAAACTCAGAAAGCCAGAGTAATGAAGATAAATGGAAGAGCAGCTGCCAGAATAATTTGATGCAACATCAGCAACAAAATTATCCACATGAAGTTCCGAGCACCAATTCTCAAAGTGAAAAAAGTGCATATGTTGGTATGGAACATTATCTTCACAATCCCAACAAGTTCTCCTCTGACGTACAGCCTGTACTGCAATCATCAGGGTTTACACCTCCACTATATGCTTCAGCAGCAGCTTATATGACCTCAACAAATCCATTTTACACTAATTTGCAGGCCTCAGGCATATATTCTCCACAATATGTAGGTGCGTACCCGTTTAATCCCACAGCTGTTCCTCCATATATTGCTGCATACCCTCCTCATGGTTCTGTACCACTTGTTGATGGGGCTACCGGTAATAGTTTTACTCCCCAAGCACCAGGGGTTTCTCCGACTGCAGGAAACATTTCACACGGCGCTGAAAGGATACATGCAAACAATTTGTTTGGACAATTTGCATTTCCTCTGCAGCCTTCTTTTGGTGATCCTATTTACATGCAATATCATCAGCAACCTTTTGTGGAGGGATATGGTGTATCTGGTCATCTGATGGCACCTAGAGCCAATGTTGGTGGCCAAATTGGTCCCCTTGATTCCCAGAAAGGGCCCAATAGTGGGGCTTACCTGGATGACAAAAAATTACATAATCAGAGAAGTGGTGCTAATTTGAATCCTAATAGAGGTGGGGTAATACTTCCTGGTTATTTTGGACACCCTTCAAATATGGGTTTCGTAACCCAGTATCCAGGTTCCCCACTTTCTAGACCAGTTTTATCAGGATACCCAGAAGGCAGTCCTGGCCTTCTAGGTGGAAGGAATGAAATGAAACTCTCTCCAGCTTCTGGTAGGAATGGAGGTTTATTATCTGGATGGCATGGTCAAAGAGCCTTTGACATTGCTCATGACCCCAAAATTGCTATTTTCCTTGAAGAGTTAAAATCTGGCAAAGGTCGCAGATTTGAACTATCTGATATTATTGGACATATAGTTCAATTTAGGCAAGTAATATTTTCGGTGATCTTTTTACTTATCATTTTATCAATTCCTTGGCTATGGAAATTAAGTTCACTGTGGTTTTTAACTCCAGCACTGATCAGCATGGGAGCCGTTTTATACAGCAGAAGTTGGAAAGCTGTGGTGTTGAAGAGAAGGAGTTAGTGTTCAAAGAGGTTCTTCCACATACTTCTAAATTAATGACTGATGTATTTGGCAACTATGTAATCCAGAAGGTGAGTTTTGAAGTGATGGTCATTGTCATTAATTAACTTTATGGTTGTCTGGAGTCTGTTATGCTCTAATTTGTCTATGTCTCCTGTGCATAGTTTTTTGAGTATGGAAGCCCTGAGCAGAGGAAGGAACTTGCAAATCGACTTCTTGGTCAGATACTGCCTTTAAGTCTGCAAATGTATGGCTGTCGTGTAATCCAAAAGGTATGTAATTCGTATTGATTCATGTAACATGAAGACATTGGTATATTTATTTTCCTTGAAAGCTATTGCAATCTGGTCACATGATATCTTCATTAATATTTATTAATCATTTGAATATATGAAGATCCTACTTAAACATTTGCTAGAATTCTGGCTTTTTGCAAATTACAATCTGAAAATGGGGCTCTGCTTATCTCATAAATTTATCTTTTCTTCTTTTAGCCAAGGTGTAGTTCCTAGTAATGACGAAATCAGTTTGTTTGCAATAGATGAAGATAAAAGTATTTATGGTCTGTTACTCTGTTTTTCATGTCAAATGCAAGTTGCATGATTTTCCTCACTGGCTCTGTTTTTTTCGAGAGCAATTTTGTTTTTAACTTCAGCCCAAATTCTGTTTGATTATCAATACAAACAGGCTCTTAGTCATAGTAATATCTGCCATGGATTGATGAAGTGGTGTCAACATGAACTTATATGGCTTTTCTTGTGTAGACAACAGATAGAAGATGAAATGAAGATTTTATCAAAGAAAATAATTTCTCCATTCCAAATTGGGTTTTGTAAATTAAAAGAGTTGCAAAAGCAAAGAAAGCTGACTAATACTATTATATAAACATGTTCTTTGTGCTTCTTTTTAACACAGATCTTCTCACTTGGAGAACAGGAAAACTGAATATTATTTAATGTTTTTTCAGTACAAACACTAATCCTTGTTTATAGGCTACACTTATTAAAGGAAGAACAGAAATTTGAATAGGCTAAGCCTATTAAGGGAAAGACAAAATGTGAAAGATAACGTCTATTCTAATAATTACAAGTATCATCTGAATATATAGTTATATACAGGGGTATTCTATCCTAAATTAATGCCTATTTACAACATTCTCTTGGAAGACTCCCGGCCCCCAAAATCAGAAGGGTCAAGGACTCTAGGTAAGGTATAATAAAAGGTTTAGTGGGGGATTAGGACCTACTTGTATTCAGTAATAAAAGGGGAATAATAGGGGGAGTTAGAATCAGTTGAGAGAAGGAAATTCAAAGGGAGAACCAGGTCACTCAAGTTCAAAACCTGGGAATTAGAGAGGAGATTTTCCATTGTCTCGTTCTAAATCTCTGGTTATCTATCAACAGTTCAACACTGATACTGATTGGAATAGTTTATGAAATAAGTTTTTGTTCTTCTTTCTTCTTTCTAATTTGATCATCCACCTATCTTTAGACATTGTAGACAGCTAGTGCCAGGAAAAGCACAGGGAGTGTCTTTTTTCTTTTTTCTCTATTACATGAATCTTAGATTGTTTGTACTTGGTGCTCGCCTGCTTGGCTAATGCTTTTAAATGCCTATGATTAATCTATTGAAGAGTGTGCAGTGACACAATTGAAGGTTGTCAGGTTGATTTCTCATAACTACGTTGTTTCTTTGTTTTCTTCTAATGGGATTTGGTCATTGTGGCTTAGACTATCTATTCTGGGAGTTGAGATATTTCTGTTTCTATTAATTTCTTTTCCATTTTTACATGTATTTATTTTCTGAAAGCAATACTGGCCACCGGGAAACTGCCTTTAGCATAACAATGTTTATAAATACAAGAAATATTTCCAGTATATTGTGTGTTGGTTTAAATATATCATTTCATATTTATTTCTATTTTGTGCCTGTACAGGCACTTGAGGTTATTGATCTTGAACAGAAAGTTCAGCTTGTTCATGAGCTAGATGGAAATGTTATGAGATGTGTCAGAGACCAAAATGGGAATCATGTAATACAGAAGTGCATTGAATCTATTCCAACTGCAAATATTGACTTTATAATAACTTCTTTTCGTGGTCAAGTTGCTATTCTATCTATGCATCCTTATGGTTGCCGAGTCATACAGGTAAGGTTATTGCATTTACCTTTTCCATAAAGAAATTGATGCTTCTTTGATTGCACATTTAGCCCCATGATAATGTTTCTTGTAGAGAGTTCTTGAGCATTGTTCAGATGAGGTTCAGTGTCAGTTTATTGTGGATGAAATCTTGGAGTCAGTTTTTACTCTTGCTCAGGACCAGTATGGTAATTATGTTACTCAGGTTAGTTACTATTTGTCTCTCGCTGTTAATTGTAGTATTGAATTTTAGCAGTGGGTGGTGGTTATGATGCATAGTAGAATCTGAATCAAGTTGAAGGTATAGACATGCCCTTTCTATCATTTGTACAATTATAAATAACAACACGAGCACTGTCTGCATTACACAATTAGCCAGGTTTGTGGCTCCAAGCCACCACACTCTTATTACATGTATTGCTCCTGCTCTGCTTTATAATACACGATATAGTCTGCTTTGTGAGTCTTAGCAGATGCTAAATTGCTATTTCACTCTTCTAAGATTTAAAAAAAACGGAAACCTGGTGCTATAAAGCTCTTGCCAATGGTGGGGTCCAGGTAAGGGGAGGATCATTACAAGCCTATTGTTGACAGCCTTACCTTGTATTTGCAAGAGGCTGATTCCGGGACATGAACCTGTGATCTCCTAATTACACTGTAGCAATTGTAACCATTGCACCACGGCTCCCCTTCACTTTTCAAAGTCTTTCCTTTTGCAATTTTTATTCTAATTTGCACTTTTCCCCTAGGCTTTTTTGAATTTTCATTTTGCCAGATCACTTATTAACACGATGTTTAATCTAAAAAATAATCATAAGTTTCCATATTCTTTTTCTACTATTATGTCGTTTTCTGCTGAATTTTATATTTCTATAATTCCTAAATTTATAGCCAAATCATTTTATACTGTTCAAACTGCAGAGGACATTGCATTTGCAAAGAGAAGAAATTGATTCATTTTTATGCATGCTATGATGATATTGACTGGCGGTGGTTGTCTATTGTGAACTCGATACACTGTATACAAGATAGGGCAGTGCTAATGACTGGAGTAAATAAAAATGTGCAAAGGCTCTTTTGGAGGAAACAACCCAATTCATTTCCAAGCATAATATTCAAATTAAATTTTACAGATTCTCTTTGTATATTTGTGTGTGTATTTTACTTTTGGTTGAGGGGATGTTCAAGGTCTTCTTCCCCGCTTTCCTTGGCCTTTAAATACTTTTTTTGTGTATATATGTTTATTGATAATGCCCTTTCAAGTAGCCTTATCAATGCTTGGAATGATATAGATAATTCTGGGTTTACTTGGGTAACATTTGCTATTTTGCACATGGGATATTTCGTGGTTTGTGGACCTGTTGTTTAAATTTTTGTTTCATTTCTTTAGTTATGATGCTTTGCTTATGTCTTTACAGCATGTGTTGGAGAGAGGAAAGCCTCAGGAAAGGGGCCAAATTATTAACAAGCTGTCAGGACATATTGTCCAATTAAGCCAGCACAAATTTGCATCAAATGTTGTTGAGAAATGTTTGGAGTATGCTGATGCCTCTGAACGGCAGTTGTTAATCGCAGAGATTGTTGGACATGACAAACAAAATGATAATTTATTGGTAAGTATTAACTTTTTTAAGGCTAATCACATTTACTATTTAATAAAATGTTTGTATACTATAATGCATAGCAGATTATATCTTCGAAGCTGGCATAGCAGAAAAATTGCAACCTAATTATCTTGGAAAGTTGTTAGATTAGAGTTTTACTTGCTTGCTTTTCTATATTGTTAAAAATATTACTAGAAATGAGGAAGAGGTTTTTAAGAAAGTTCAACTTGGGTAGGCTATAAATCCTCCCAAAAGAAAGGAGGGGGTTGGTGGAGAAGAAAACAGCATTATAATTCGCTTAAAACCTTATACCATTAGGCAAGGCAAGAAATTGTGAAATTGTTCCTTTAGGCAGAAGCTTCATGTTATTTGTTGTTTTCTAACCTTATTCCCCAGCACAAACCATAGTTGCACTGTTGTACAAAAGAAATACCTTATCCTCAAGAAAAATGGTGAGGAAAATTATTAAACCTAGTTATCAAGCAAATCATTCAAGTAATTCAGCCTTATGCCTGGATGGTTTGAATCAAATATTTGATTGTAATTGCCTGAATTTTTTGCTATATGGTATTGTTATGGATGAATCTCAACTTGAAACATCAATTTGCAAATGCCTACCTTGAGAGACTGATACCAATCAATCTGAATCGGGTTTGGTACCCTTGCTTACTACTCCGTGCTTAATTTCATTGTAGACAATGATGAAAGACCAATTTGCAAATTATGTGATCCAGAAGGTTCTTGAGATCTGTTCCGAAAATCAGCGAGCAATGTTACTTTCTCGCGTAAGACTTAATGCTCATGCTTTAAAGAAGTACACTTACGGAAAACACATTGTGGCTCGGTTTGAACAGCTACTTGGAGGTGTGTACTCAACTCCTAGTACTTTGGTTGACATACAGAAATCTTGGTTAGTTTACATATATCATGATTGCATTCTTCTATTAATATATAATCAGGTAGGGTGTGCCCGAGAAATTTTGCTTGAGCTTTGCCAAGTGGCATTCACTCATGTTTGGTACATTGAAGAACTAAATAGTGTGATAAAAGAATAATGTTTAATCTTTCTGGTTAGGAGGGGTAATATAACCCGGTACAAGCATTGATCAGCTTTTAGTTTATAGTGATATAAATGGATATCTTCTCTTTAGAGTCTTCAGGATTATCTTACGCAAAACTAAACAAGCTATTAGACTTGAATTTATTATACATTTAATTTGGACTTTTGTGTGTACTTTCTATGTCAATAAGAATCTATAAAATGTTTTATTTAGTTTGTAATGTTAGTTTATATATTATATTTATTTTTTTAATAATAATGATAATAATAATAATAATAATATTATTATTATTATTAGGAAAAGGTACTTCGTGCTTATATATTTTAAAATATAAAATATAAAAAAAAAAAGTGAAAAAAGTAATATAGTTACTATTTTTATAGAAAGCACTGTCAAATATGGTTTTACAATATTAAGAGTTATTTTGTTTTAAGCTTCTGTGAATTTTTTTTAAAATTTTATTCTTTAACTAACAAATAACAAATATTAAGGGATAAAAACGTCAAACAAAATGTGTACATGAAAATGAAAATTCCTCTTTATATATACATATAAATTATTATTAATATACCGATTCGACTATAGATAAATCATTGAACTTTAAATCAGTACTATGATTTGTTCAATATTATGTTTGGTTGTAAAGAAAAACTGAGTTATCAAACAACAGAGAGAAAATGCCTTCTTTTTTATTTTACCCAATTTTTTCTCTTTCCCATTTCCCAAAAAAAAAAAATTGTCTTAAGAGTCCGCATTTCATGATTTCTTATCCTATATTGTGCATGCAGAAAACCAAACACCTGGATCATGATGACAATAGCGGGTCTTGCACAATGCTTCTGTGGCCTGCAAACACATGTATTTCTGTATCACAGGAGATAGATGCGATATTTGATCTATTGACTAAATCTATGCTACCGTGGCTTCATATCTTCTGTTGCACCTTCATAGTTTTCCGACATTCGTGGCTTCAAGAAACATTAGTGTATGCATGCATACATGATGTGGTGAAACTTGATGTAATTAAGTCATTTAAGTAATTGGTTTGTATAATTAGTCGGAAGGAAATCCTTAGTGATGTAAATTTACTGGATCCTCTTCCTCTCTGCTTTACTGTGGTTTTTCTATAGGAAAGGGCTGAGGACAATCATGGGTTTGTCTCTCCTTAATATCTGGTCTCTCGTCCTTCTAGTTTGCATGCTCATTTAAATAATCACGATTAAATTAAGTGCCGGCTGATCCTGGTTAAAGCTTGATCTCGAATTAAAAAAAAATGGTTTTATGACCAAAATTACTATTGGTGCATGAACACTAAACAAAATCAAAAGATAAACTTGATAATGATAATTTCTTTTGATACAGAAATGATAATGATAATTAAACTTTTTATGGAGGTAATTCATTTATTTTTGTGAATTATTTGTTTTGACATGCAATTTAGAAATATTTTAGTAATTTGTGAAAAGGAAATTTATTTTAGTAACTTGTGAAAATATTTTGATTACCTAAAATTACACAATTTCAAATTTTCTAAATTTTTTTAACGAAAATTTTCATACTTAATCTTTTATATGCTTATATCTTCTCTCACTCTTTTCTCCCTCCCTCCTCTATTCTCAATCCTCTCTCCATTGCTATTTCCTGTTCTCCCCCTCCCTCTCTCCCCTCTCCCCTCTCCCCTCACTCTTCTCTCCCTCCTTTCTCCTCTTTTGTCTCCCCCCCCTTCCCTCCCTCTGATCTATCTTATTTCTCTTTTCCTTCTCCCATCCCTCTTGCTATCTTCTCTTCCTCTTGTCTTTCCTACATATTTTCTTATTATCAAGGCAAACAAAAAATACTAATATTTGTTATATTGAATTTTATCTTATATAAAAATTAATATTTTAGTTTGTACAATACGTAAATATGTTTATTATTTATAATTAAAATTTATAATAAATGATATATATAATAAATGTTTAAATATATAAGTTATATTTAAAATTTATATATATAGATATTTTAAAACATTATATTTTAAATTTAGGATAAATAATTTATGTTAGAGTAAAAATATATTTTTATTTATTATTAATTTATTTTAAAATATTGATATTTAATTTATAAATAATTAAGATAAATAAGAAATAAATTTTGATAAATAGTTAAGAAAATTCGATACAAATCTTCTCATTAATAAAAAAAAAATCTTTAAAAACACTCTTATAAAATAACGGTGTTAATGTTTAATATGTTAGATTGGTGTTTTAAATTATTATATATTAAAATTTGCTTAATATTTATTTTTGTAAAATCTAATATTGAAAATTTAGTTTATATTTAAAAATCAATTTTCCATATGATGAAAATTAAGTTGTTCTATCTAAATTAACAATTTAAGAATTTTAAATTAATTTATCAAAACAAAACATTAAACAAAAATACAACTTAAATCAAAATTCAAATGTTAAAATTTTTTAATTTCCTGAAATTTTAAAATTAGACATCCTAACGAGCTTCGCCTGTAAAAATGATTTTATTTTCATCTTAAGCTTTTGATTACCTTTTATAATCAATTTACTCAGTTAAATATAGATCATGATTTAACTCCTCTAACTGTGTAAATGAGTGAATAAACGAAGACCTCAGATCCTTGCCAAATATATATATATCAAATATTTAATTGAGTAACATTACAATTTTACTATTTGAACTTCATTGATAAGTTTGATACATGCGAATAAATTGACTACTAAGTCCATCTTATGGCATTTAATTATTTTCTATAAACAATTTACTCCACGAAAAATATTGCTAAGGATTTAACTTGCTCAAATCATTTCTAAACTAGTGAATAAACGAAGATAGAAGCCATAGACTATTCCCCAGTCCCCACCCGCGAAATAAAAAAAAGAAAAACATCATTCAAACATTTAATTATGAGCTTGGCATGAACAAAACTTTCAATTTTACTTATTTACTAAATTGTTAATTTTGATCAATTTATTTTCTAGTTAAAGAACAATACCATCTAATGGTATAAATCAAGGAGCTTAACTCAGTTAATTAGACAAGATGGTAAGCTCCCTAGGTACCAAATTTAAATTCTACACAAAAATAAATATGTAATGTAATAGTGTAATGCATCATTTACATAATCAAAATCAATCACTTGTTCTCGTGGTCATTTCAAGTGGCAAATGATTTTGTTTTTGCCAATGATCAATTCAAATAAACATGGTGATATAATCTTAAAATAACTTTTTTTTTGTGAAGAAAATGTGTATCTGTCGGGCGGCATGAATGCCCCTCTGAACCAAAAAAATAGCTATAGAAGATATGAAAGACAAATCTAAACCCTGAAAAATTACAGTAAGACTATAAGTAAAAAACTAAATATAAAATGGATACACAACTATAATTACTAGTTACTTGAAAAGCTATTCTGGAATTGTGCGCCTTACATTAAAATGCATAAGAATGGCTAATAATATTATCTGTATTTAAAACCACATACAAAATTACAGGCCCCAAATGAATCAGGATCCTCCACTTCAAAATAAAAAAATTGATATTCCAACAAACCACATAAATATCCTACAAGACTCCATCGAAGAAATTTGACTGTAATTGAGGGTTGCCCTTCAGGACCCGAGTAAGATGCAATTCATAATGCCCATTAACAAATGATAAATGTCTCACCACCCTGAGGCAAATGCCAAATAAAATCAAAAGCGATCCTTCCTTTTCCGGCCAGTGTACTTGGTATCTGGAGGAACAGCATTTCCCCTTCTCCTCATCTGCTCCTTCTTCCTTAGTAACCATTCCTTTCCCTTCCCGCTCTTATTATTCTTTTTCTGTTTCTTCCGCGGTCTATGCCTGTCTGAGATACATACCTGCAGTATTTTCATTTTTTAAGCTTGTGAGTAAGGACGGGTTAGAAATGGCATTTTTTACATAACTTGTCCACATCTACTGCATTTCCAAAATCTGGAATCAATTTTCAAATAGGTAGTGATCTGTGAATACAACTAACTAATTGAATAAAGAAAAAATTAATAGCAGATGCTTTTTAAAGAAACCATACTTTCAGGAGGATTATTTTTTAAACAACTCATAATATAAACTTAATTCATAAATGCGGTAAAACTCACTGTCTGATTTTCTTCATCTTCACTGTCCTCATCAGAGCAACTCTCTCCATCTTCGTTTTTACCTTTGGATGACACAGATGCATTTACTGAACGTTGACCACATGTGAGAACAAGGAACTCCTTTCTCCTCTTCGAACTATCACAACAAGCCAATTGCTCTCCAGTTAGTGAAACACAATGATCAAGAAGGCTAGGCAGTGGTGCTGCTTTTCAAAAGAAATCATAGCTAGAAACCATATCAAATAAAAAACTAAACCCCTACAGTCAAATATAATTTTTCTTTGCTAGTGTACATAATTGGTGATAAATTTATAATTATATGAAACAAGGTGAGTCAACAATGCACCAATGTGTGACCCAATATATTACACATTTGTGAATCTGTGGTAAATGAGCCATAGTAGTATTTTAAGATTTATTTATTCATACCTGTGTGGAAAATCCACCACTATACCACCAGCAAATCCAGCATGCATTGCAGCATTTAAAATCAATTCACGTTGGTCTATATTTTCAGGATACACTTGAAATACTGCTCTAGCCCCATTTGCTAAGCATTTATATAAGGATGTAAAAAAGGCCCTACACAAGAAATTGAGATTATATATTAAGAGAGAAACAGAGAAAAGGAGAAGGTTCCAGAATTAATGAATCTCTCTATAGATAGTGAGATGCAAAGAAACATGGAATTGTGCAAGTCTCCATATAAGAGACCCAAAATATAAAAAGTTTATAAATAATGAAAAGCAGTATAATAAACAAGTAAAGGAACATACTTCAATCTTAATCGAGGGTTGTGAGAGGATTTATCAGCATTGCATAACCACTGCATTATGACATAAAAGTTTGCCGTGTCATATAAATGTCCACAGAATTATGAATGAAAACGAAATGCTGCAATCAAACTTCGTAGAGAATGAACATTTTTTCACATGACATAACTGCCCCTCCCCCCTCCCTCCTTCACCGCAAATAGAAATTGCAAATACAAGAGCTGTGCCATTCAAAATACGTAGCTTCAACTTGATACATTATAACTGAATATCATTTCTTTCACCCCCTAAGAGCTCTCAGCTCAAACTCAAAGGTCTTACATTTTTCACATTTAACATGGTAATCATTATGCAGTAATCTATTTCAGTTTGATTTTATCATTTATATTGAAAACACACCTGAACAGCGGATATACTGATAGCCCCGTCAATAACTCCAGGACGAAGCCCTAAACCCTGAAACCAATGACATAGCAACAAAATCAGTGAAGCACGATGCAGAACACAAACATCATGACTAAAAACAAACGCAAAAGGATATCAAAAGTGTTTAGAATTATAACAAGATAAAATTAAACTAAGGTAAATAGTATATACTTGACCCATGTCACCAAGTAGAAGGTCACCCTCAACCTCTCGCTCCAACGCAACATCTACATTTAACAAAACAAATAAAATTAGCAAAAACTAAAAGTGCAAAACTGATGAGAATAACAACATTAAAATAAAAAATAATAAAAAATTGGAGAGCACAACATACTAAGCATCGATGCTGAAATGTCAAGACCAATCCAATGGTGCCCATTCTCCGATAGCGTCTCGCCGCTCAGTCCCGATCCACAACCTACGCGTATTATTCATAAAGCATGAAAATTTGATGAAAGCGAGATAGAATAATCAAATTGAATTAAATTAAACTGAAACTAAAATTAAGAATCAAAATTACCGATATCAAGGAGTAATTTGGGAACGTCGTCATCAGGTAAAGCGAGTAGCTCGAGGGCTCTCTCTGAGAGTGTCGCCTTTTTGGCAGAGATAAAATAATAAATTAATTTGATAAAGAAAGAAAAGAAAATTGAATTAGGAAGAAGAAGATGAAGAAGAAAACCTGAATTTGAACAATACGGGAAGAAGAAGTGTACTTGCGAGCTTCGACGTCGTCGTAGAAAATCTCAGGCGGCGCAACCACTTCTGGTCTCGACGCCATCCTTTCACAGACCCAAAAACCCTAAACCCCAAATAATGCTTTGGCTATTTTTTTTTTTATTTATATGTAAACTGTATTGTTTATTATTAATTAATTTTATATTAAAAATATTTATTTATTATGGATTTGAATTATTAAAAAAAATCATCATCTACCAAGATATATGACCTAAAATACCAATTATTAAATGTAAAGTAGTTTTTTTTAATAATAATTTATTTATAATTTATAATAAATTGTTGGTTTTTGTAATGCATAAGTAAAAAAAATAATATTTGCAGTGATATTTAATTGTTTAAAAGTGTATAAATCACTTTAATATTAGTGTATGATTGTTAAACTTTTTTATTTATTTATATTAACTCACTCATTTTATTTCCAAGTTGATGCTCTAGCTAATAGGTGAGCAATCAAATTCGCTTATAATCCCTGCAATGGAGTATGAAAGCTCTGAATTCAGGTAGGTCAGGAATATTATTATAGATGTTAGACACTACTCTTGGACAATTCATCTCTAACAATATTTTCAATATCCTTTCAAAAGCTTTTATAATATGTTAATCTCTATTTTCTCTTACTCCCACGATGCTCCATAGGCACATAGGCATATGATATGAACTAATTGGCGTTCATTTTGGTTATCACACAATAGTCAATACAAAAACAAGTTGTGTTGTGCTCTCAGCCTCAAGCAAGAGCGATCGGATCATCTGCTTGTTGTGTTGCCAGACATTCCACAGTCAAAGAACGTATGCCAACAATCCTGTAAGTTGGATGCACAAAATAGGCAAACACGCTTCTCAAGTTGCATCCGTGTGGAAAGGATGTTTCACCGTTAAACTCTTATTAATATATACATTGTTTTAAAGTCATTTAGTAGTAGTAAAAACTTATAACATGAATTGGATTGAGATCTTGAAAGATTATTTTAATATGAAAAATACATATATATTTTAATGAAGTTTAAAAGATTTTAAAAATATGTCATGATTTTTAAATAATAATTTTTTATAATATAAATTTTAATCAAAACTTTATAATCAGATTTTATAAAATATATTGGATTGAAATTTTGAAATACTATTTTAATATGAAAATGTCTTGTAAATTTAAGAAATTTAAAAGGAAATATCATGATTTTTAAGATTTTTTTAAACACATGAATTTTAATCAAAATTTTATAGTTCTGATTTTTTGATAAATAATTAATTTTAATGTCTTCTTACTTACCATTTTTTACATATCTAAAGTTATATTAACCCTTCATGTGTTGATATATTTTCTTTCATGCTTTTGAATTTGAAAAATATGTGAAAAAATAGCCTTCATTAACTAGTAGCAATGAAGATGAAGATTCATTCACTAATTCAATTGAAAATTCATTAGAACGATATTTTTTGTGAAAAAGTTATTTAATGTTACACATACTATGTCCTTTTTCATTAATCATTTTTCAATGCATTTTTTCGTGAAATCTAAGATCTTTGTCCTTTGTTTAGTTACTCTTCATGCTTTTATACATTTTTAACGGAATGTGAATTCTAAGATAACAACTTTTGATCTGTTAAGGTAGCACACATTCATTTGAACATTAAAAATTGTTAGTTACAATAAATAATGATCTCGATATACAGTTTGTGTGTTTCGTCTGATTAGTTTCATCTTACAGATTTTACTTTGTCTTACTTAGTCTGAAACAATAACTTTTACAACGTGTTTTCTTACTAAGAAAGTAGTGTTTTTTATCATTAAAACTTTATAAAATACGAGGATCATCTTTTGACTTAAATGAATTATTTTCATTATAAAATAATGCCATTATAAGAAAATTAAGTCATTAAACTAAACCATAAAGACTAAATCTCTCTTTTTATTTTTTTTATTTTTTTTAACATCTAAAGTCTAAATCTTAAAACCCTAAACCTTAACACTTAAATATTAAATATTTTTAAATTTATCAAATTAACTAAAAATTTAAATATGTCAATTACAAATATACTTACTAGAATAATTATGAAATCTATAAGCCCTTTTCATTAGAAGATAACTATGTTATGAGAAAATAAAACAACTTAAGTAAAAAAAATATTTAAAAGATTATGTGTAGTTTTAAAGTTTAAAAATAATTTTTTTTAAAAAAATAATGAAAATAGATATTGAGTTAAATAGAAAAGTATTAACTTTTTAATTTTTAATTTTCTGTTCTATTTCATTTTTATTTTATCCAATATACCTTATCTAAAATTAGAAATAGAAAGAATAAAATTCACCTTTTGTCTCTCAATTTTTGTTGATATGTAATTTTAGTCTTTATTTCAAAATAGAAACATTTAGTCTCCTTATTTTTTAAAAATACAAAATTTTGGTCATACTATCAATTTCATGTCCGTTTATCATTAAATTTTGATGTTGTCTAGTAATCTATCATTATTTAAGTGACATAATATTTAATAACAAACATGTAAGTATAATTTTTTTTTTATAAAAAACATATAAAAGATATTTTGCTTAAAAAAAACATATAAAAGATCTTCATTTTTATACATTTTACAAATTATTAATATTTATTAATAAAAATCTCATTTACATATTTTTTCTTAGTTTTTTTATTTATAAATATTATTTTATTAAATGTTACATCACTTTAATATTAGTAAATATTAAAATTAAATGGTTGATAGTGTCAATTTATGAGAAGACTAAAATTTTGTATTCTAAATATCAGATAGACTAAATGTCTCTATTTTAAGATAGAGAGACCAAAATTGTGCATTGATAAAAATAAAGAAATTAAAAGTATAATTTAGCCAAACAAAAAAAGTTCATTCAATCCTAAACCCTAAACATAAAATCTTTAAATTTAACAAATTATCTAAAAAATTTAAATATATCAATTAAAAAAAATCACCCGAATAAATATGAGATTTATACAAAGTCTGAAAATATAAAACATCTTTACTTTCTAATAAAAAAAATTACGATAATTAAGAGAAGAATGCACGAGAAAGATTAAAAATTATTAGTTTCACAAAAAAAAAACCTTACCTGCCAGATAAAGAATCATATGTAATCGATGTGAGAACACTGGTATGTGGTTGAGATTAAAAGCGATAGTCTTCGTAATTAATAAAGAAAAGACTATGTTCCACTGTAACAGATAAGAATAGAGCATGAATGCATGATATCAACCTATAAAAGATTTTTTTTTTCTGTACAAGTTATTTTTTTAATGATTTTAACTTTTTATATGAAAATAAAAAATACCATAATAATTTTCAAAGTTCAAAAGTCCTTTTGGTGTAATAGATTTATATATTCTTAAAATTGATACCAAATATAATAAGGAAAAAATTATATACAGTTTCTTAGGTGTAATTAGTATTATTTTTTAATTAAAATTAAAGTTTTATCTTGATAATATGCATTATACATTTATATGAAACCTGTATTAAATATACTTGGATTATATTGACGTAAAATTTTAACTCATATTAAAAAATAACACCAACTCTCTTAATGAATTGTATCTAAGTTTTATCCATCTAACAACTACACACTATCTCACTAATATTTGTGAGGAAATTATCTGGCTATCTTTAATTCTTTATACTTAATTTTTTTAAAATAAAATATTGTGTTGTCTTGTTTCGTCTGCTAACATCACTACCGTTTAATTTTCAACACTTATTATTAACTTTGGAACTTTTTAAAAAATTATTTTTGGCAAAATGTTCATTCTATCATTTAAATTTCCAAAATCAATGTAAAAAATGCTAAAAAAATTAATCAAGAGTGGAACTAGAAATAAACTACAAGGAAAAAATGTGCATGCCCTTGAAAAATAATTTTATATTCAATGTGATAACTATTTATAAATTTTGGTACATAATAAAATTTTTAAAGTAAAAGAAATAACATTAAAATTCAAACATCATTAAAAGTGTTCAAAAGAAATAACAATAAAATTTACCAAGTCTCTTCTTGCTCAAACAAGTGTTATTTGATTGACCTATTTAAGCCACTACCCAAATATTATTTTATAGATAGGTCTCTCCAAGTTCAAATCCAAGTATTTTTTTTTCCAGTCAACTCTATCCAAGTCTTACCTTATAACAATGGTTATAAAGATATTACAAGATTGCAGTTGTTGTCTCTTCTAGACATGATTACAACAAGAGTTTTTGCATAAGAAAGCTCTTGAAGAAGATAATCTAAAAGATAAATACAAGATGTTCTTATATATTTGCACTTTTATTCTCTTTGTGTGCTTCTCCTTGTCATATATATGTGTGTTATTTTTCTTCTTGAAATATAAAGTTTCTTATATAATAGTTTTGAAAGAGATGATCGTTGCACCTTAAATCTGACTCATAAAACACTTCATCTGATCTTTAGAGATAAGAAATATTCATCAGTGCATTAAATATTTCAATTAATGCTGTTTTTGAGCTTGCAGTCTTATACATATAATTTAATAGACTTAATTTTTTTTATACATATAATTCAATTGAACTGTCGTATATTTTTTTTTCGTATGTAGAAGAGTTTTGTTTAGTGTTTACATATGTATTATATATATTAATATTATAAGATTTATTAGTTATAATTATTTTATATAATTTTAATTACATATATTGTTCATATTATTAAATTATTTTAATTAAATATGATTAATACTTAATATGATTAAATTTTGGTTACTTTTTTTTAAGATAAGTAATATCAATTATATATATATATTATTTATAAAGATAAAATATATATTTTATTTTAATATATAATTATTACTTAGATAATAAATTTTTCATTTAATATAAAAAATATAAAGATATTTACACGTAATGAAATTTATTTATTATGAAAGGAGAGTATTAAATAAATAAATAAGTGAAAAATATAAAATATTTATAAAATAAAATATTATTTTAATTCATATAAAAAGAATAATTTCGATCATATAAAAACATTTTATCAACTATTATCGAAAATAATGAAATCAAACATAACAAAATATTTTATTCCATACTTAATGCGTTCCTTAGGTTTTCAAGCTTAAATTCCGACAACGAGGAATGCATTTCCTCAGAATTCGCGGCAGAGGCAGAAACAGTTGACGTATTTCATTCATGCATGGACCTATATAACTGCAACACTTCTCTTCAACCATCAACCAATTTTCGCTTCCAAAATACTTTTACTATACCCCTCACATCACACACTCAAACATGGCAGTAACCTTCAAAGCTTGCAACACCGTGAGGCCTATAGAGCCATCATTGCACGAACGTGTCCCTTTATCTGAATTGGATCAAATAGGCACCATAACCCACGTCCCCATAATCTACTTCTACCGTCCCCAACAAAACTGGCTCTCCCACAATAATTCCACCATGGCTTCCACCTTGAAGGACTCACTAAGCCGAGTCCTGGTGCCGTTTTACCCCCTAGCCGGTCGTTTACACTGGATAAACAACGGTCGTTTAGAGCTTGAATGCAACGATAAGGGTGTTCAGTTCGTGGAAGCGGAGTCAACGTCAAGTTTTGAAGATCTCGGTGACTTTTCACCTTCTTCAGAGTACCACCACCTTGTCCCCAAAGTAGACTACAGTCTCCCCATTCACGAGCTTCCCTTGGTGCAGGTTCAGCTTACGAGGTTCAAATGCGGTGGCATCAGCATCAGCTTAAACATCTCACACGCCGTGGCGGACGGGCCCAGCGCGATGCACTTCACGTGCGAGTGGGCCAGGCTCGCACGTGGGGAGAGTCTCGGAATGGCACCGTTTCTCGACTGGAGAGTGCTGCGTGCGGGGGAGCCTCCTTTGGCACTGGTGCCCCCCGCAACATGCCACGTGCACACGGCGTTCGAGCACCCTCCGTTGTTGCTAGGCCAAACCGGGAACACCGAGGAACGAAAGAAGAAAACAACAGTGGCGATTCTGAAACTGAGTAAAATCCAGGTTGAGACGTTGAAAAAGACAGCGAATGAGAGCTGGGGAAAAGCTAGTAACGGTCGCGGTTATAGCCGTTACGAGAGTGTGACTGGGCACGTGTGGAGAAGTGCATGCAAGGCGAGGGGGCACAGAGAGGAGCAACCTACGGCGCTTGGCGTTTGCGTTGACTCGAGGTGTCGCATGCAGCCACCTTTGCCGAAAGGGTATTTCGGGAATGCGACTTTGGATGTTGTTGCTACTAGTTTGGCTGGTGATTTGGTTTCGAAGCCGTTGGGGTATGCCGCGAGTAGGATAAGGGAAGCGATTGAGAGGGTGAATGACGAGTACGTGAGGTCGGGGATTGAGTTCTTGAAGAGGCAAGATGATTTGAGTAGGTTTCAGGATCTTTATGCGATTGGGAGTGAGAAGGGGCCTTTTTATGGGAACCCTAATTTGGGTGTGGTTAGTTGGTTGAGTTTGCCCATCTATGGCCTTGACTTTGGGTGGGGTAAGGAGGTTTATATGGGTCCTGGGACGCACGACTTTGATGGGGATTCTCTGCTTCTTCCTGGTCCAGATGGGGATGGCTCTTTGCTGCTTGCTTTGTGTCTTCAAGTGCTGCATATGGATGCCTTCAAGAACCATTTTTATCAAGATATTCTGTAAGAATCATGGGAAGACACTTGTGTACGTGCATGCTACTACAATATCACATTCAACACCTTCTTAGTTAATTCAAATAAACTAAATAATAAGATAAGTACAATTTTAATTAAATATGAATAGCTTCCTTATGCGCATCTAAACTGTATCTTCATTTCTGAACCATTAATTGTGTTATATTGTAATTTTATGATTATATTCTATTAAGATATGATAAGGTGTATGGATCGAATTGCCTTGTCTTCTATAATATATATATATATATATATATAAAAGGAAAGTTGTAATAATATCGGTGTAACTTTTATAAAGTATTACATCGTTCAATAACAATAATTTTATATTAAATGTGAATTTTGTAAATTCAACTGTTAGATTGAAAGTTCTTTACTCTTAGATCATATATACAAAATTTTATATTAATATCGATCCAAGATGATTTGATACTTCATTCTTATAAAATAAAATTGACGTAATATATACATTTAAAAATATACTAAAATATGAATATTTTGATTACCGTCAAGCTATTGTTCAATTTTAACAAAAGTGGAAGGTCTATTCATTTTCACTATAAAAAAAATGACAAAGGTTATGTTTGATTTAACGTTTAAATAATTAAACAAACAACTATTAGGATTAGCCTAATGGGTGGGTAGGAAAAATAGTTTGGATAGTTAGAAATATAGGAATATAGGTTCAATCTACCATCATTATAATATTTGTTATATTTACCAAAAAAAAAAAAGTTAAACAGACGCTCACTTATTATTGAACTTAGTAGTAAAGTGTTGTTTTTGAGTTGAAGTGAATGTAGGTTATGTATACAATACATCATTTTACTAAAAATATATGATTGTCTAAAAATATAAAACACTAATATAGAAGTTCCTATAAATATTTAACAACTTGAAATTATTATTTATTTATTTTTATTGATAGTGTTTATTTAATTATTCGTTTCTTTTGGGTCCTTGTCATTTATCCTTTACTGCAAGAAGCTTGTATATTATTATAATTGAATTTAAATGTAACTTAACCTTATAAAATTGCCGTATAAGATAAGGATTGATCTTCATTTATATATTTTTTAATTGTCTTATCATTAGTTGACGTGTGATTTAGATTATTTTTTAATATATATTTCTGTTTATTGCTTTATTATACGGAGATTGTAATGTTGTTAGAACCTTGTGATTATATTCGTGAGTTACTATATATTTCGGTGACTTACTTTAAGTTGAATCATGTGTGATTATATATGCGTCCCTAATTAAAGATATATATAAAAAATTAAAAATAGTATGTTGTCATATAAGACAATTAATCTCGTGACAATTAATCTCGTGAATATCATGTACAGCAGTATATATATTTGGCTAGCATCTTAAATTTCCCGGTTTATGTCTAGCTTCTATGCGGCTATATTACTAATTATCATTAAATTAAACTTTATTTCATTTACACGTCCATCTGAATTCTCAAAGTCTCACGTTGCATTTAATTAATTAAACACCGGCAGCCCTTGAAGGCGTTACTTGGGTATTGTATGGTAATTAAACATTAACTAGATTAAGTATTGATTTACAGTAAATCGATTCGACAAGGAAGGGTTGATTAAATATTGATAAGTTACATATTAAGTATTGAGTTGTTATAAAAGATAAAAAATGCTTAAAATAATACAAAGAGACACAAAATTGGCATAGTACGTTCGATGAGTGAAATAAACACAGATTAATTACGAGCTAGTTGTCAATTTTGAGATAATACAAGAATAATATGTGCATGTAAAAAAAATGCAAATTGGACCGTCCAGGTCGAAGTCCGACCTGTATTCCCTACATGCGCCAGGCCGATTATGGCCTTGACCGATCCCCCCTCTCTAAGAATCACTCGGTCTTCATCCGACTGGGCTTCACTATGTAAGTAGCGTGTGAGATATCCTGATCCGACTTCGACATGAACCATAAGGGCTAGGCCTTAAGCCCTTTCGCCTTACAGGCTCAGAACTGGAAGGCAAGTGGACCGTTCAGGTCGAAGTCCGACTTGTATTCCCTACATGTGCCAGGCCGACTATGGCCTTGACCGATCCCCCCCTCTCTAAGAGTCACTCGGTCTTCATTCGACTGAGCTTCACTACGTAAGCAGCGTGTGAGATATCCTGATCCGCCTTCGACATGAACCGTAAGGGTTGGGCCTTAAGCCCTTTCGCCTTACAGGCTCAGGGCTGGAAGGCAAGTGGACCGTCCAGGTCGAAGTCTGACCTGTATTTCCTACATGCGCTAGGCCGACTATAGCCTTAATCGATCCCACCCTCTCTCTAAAGAGTCATTCGGTCGTTATCCGACTTGGCTACACTACGTACGCCCCTGTCGGTTGTGTTCCGATTCCACTCGCTTAAAAGGGGACAATCAGCCCCTGACCGACTAGACCCAAGAGTCACTCGGTCGTTATCCGACTTGGCTACACTACGTACGCCCCAGTCGATTGTGTTCCGATTCCACTCGCTTAAAAGGGGACACTCGGCCCATACTCGACTGGACCCCCAATATAGGTCTACTCGGTCAGGGACCGATCTAATTTCCCCATATGGGAGCTACCCGATAGCAAGGGCAAGACCCACCCTCATTCACCAAGTATCTTCTAGATCATAACGGTTAAGGAAATCTCTACATTCCCGGGGTCCGTAAGGCCCATGAACAAGAAATTATAAGACCCAAAACTCTAGAGTCGAGACGGCAGATTATACTCTTGAATGTTCTGGCTCTAAGGCTTAACCTAGGAAGAAACCCTAGTCCACCTTTTGGTCAGAGCACAAATATATAAATAGGTTATTGCTATGGTGCCCCTTTATATGAGGGGGTTTTGGTGTCCTTAATTTTCATATCAGCGAATCACAGATTGACACATGGCTGTAATAAGCTCAGTCATAAGCGATCAATCAAGAGGCAATTGGGGAATTGCACAAAAGGGACAGTAACGTATTTTTCATTTCAATTAATTTATTCACATATAATACACGGTGTTTCATCAAAACAAATTGTCGTTGCCTGTGGCTTAACCTTCGTCTTCTCCGACGACGAAGCAAGTTTCTGAATCTCAAAAATCCCTCATCTTCTCCAACGAAGCAAGGTCGTTTGTGAATCGTAAACCCCATCTTCTCTGAGACAACTCGGCTAATGGTTTCTGGAAGGTGCGACTTACTCATTTCAAAGACAATAAGCCACACAAAGCTAACCACTATCGTCACTTGCTTTGTCAGAGACAAAGACGAATTCATCAAAGGAAATGACAGATATTTCGAAACAAACCACCACTTGCATCACTTGCTTCGTCGGAGAAGATAAGGGTGTAGGGTTCACAAACAACCTTGCTTCGTCATCGAAAAAGATGAGGGTTGCTGTCACTTGCTTCGTTATGAAGACGGATTCGTCAGAGAAAATGACGGATATTTCAAAGCAAATCACTTGCGTCACTTGCTTCGTCGGAGAAGATGAGGGTGTAGGGTTCACAAATGACCTTGCTTCGTCGTCAGAGAAGATGAGGGTTTAGGATTCGCCTCTGACAATTTGTTTTGACGAATCAGTGTGCCTTGTGATGGATAAATTAATTGAAATGAAAAATACGTAACTCTTCCTTTACAAAATTTCCCGATTGACCCTTAACCGGTTGACAATGAGCCACCTTGTTATAGCCATGTGTCAATCTATGATTTGCTAATATGGGAAGGACACCACAATCCCCTCATATAAAGGGGCACTTTAGAATATACCATATTATAAAGAGAGTTGCTTCTGTACCCCTGATAAATGAGGGGTACCGGTACTGTCGATGAGTAGTCGAAAACCAGGACAGCTCCGGTCAACCATCCACTTGGAACTACCTACGTCAAGTATTCCACAAGAGTGCATGCCGGTTGAAGAACCTTCAAGTTCGTGGATGACCAACATCACAAACTACATTGTTAACGGTTCCGAACTGGCCAATCCGATCGAAGCTAAGAAGATCCGAACCCAAGCGGCACGCTATTCCGTGGTGGCCGGAGAATTATACCGACGAGGGTTCTCCACACCCTTGTCGAAATGCATCACCAGTAGCAAGCCGACTATGGCATACGAGAAATTCACGAAGGAATCTGCGGATCCCACTCAGGTGGAAGAACACTAGCTGCTAAAGTGTTGAGGGCCGGCTATTACTGGTCGACCTTGAAAATCGATTGTGTCGAGTATGTGAAGAAATGCAAGCAATGCCAACAACACGGCAATCTAATACACACTTCGGCCGAGCAGCTTCACTCGGTCAATGCCCCTTGGCCGTTTGCTCTATGGGGTATCGACATTCTCGACCCATTCCCACTCGCCAAAGGCCAATGCAAATTCTTGGTAGTAGTTGTGGACTATTTTACCAAGTGGATAGAATTCGAACCGCTTGCAACTATAACGGCTGCCAATATCCAAAAATTCGTATGGAAAAATATCATCACCCAGTTCGGCATCCCATATGCAATCATCTCCGATAATGGGCTTCAATTTACGGATAAGAAATTCAACAATTTCCTCGAAAACGTTGGCATCCGACATCGGTTCACGTCTGTCGAACATCCACAGTCCAATGGTCAGGCCGAAGCTGCTAACAAAGTTATCCTCACCGAGTTGAAGAAACGGCTCAGCACGACTAAAGGAGTCTGCACTCCGCCTGTGTTGGCCAAACTGACACCCGGCCGAGAAGTAATACTGTACTTGGCGGTTTCGGGCGAAGCCATAAGCGCTGGCATGATACAAGAACATGACGGCCAACAACAACCCGTATACTTCATTAGCTGAGTGCTTCAAGATGCCAAACGCCGATACCAACTATTGGAGAAGGTAGCGCTGGGACTTATATACGCAGTTAGGCGCCTTCGGCAATGCTTCCAGAGTCACACTGTGGTGGTCTGAACAGATTGTTCGATCGCCAAAGTGCTGCGAAAGCCAGAACTGGCTGGCCGAATGATGGCCTGGTCAATTAAGTTGTTCGAGTTTTACATCCGTTTTGAACCTCGGGGGGCCATCAAAGCTCAAAGCCTGGCCGACTTCATCAACAAATTATCGCCACTTGGCCACTTTGAAGATAATGCTTGGACCATGCATGTCGACGGATCGTCCAATCAGCAAGGAAGTGGTGCCGGCATAATCCTGGAAAGCCCATCTGGTATTACCCTTGAGCAAT